TAGATATAGATAGATATAAATAGATATTGAGAGCCTGTTTGGTGTAGTGGTTAAGTGCGTGGACTCTAATCTGGGATAACCGGGTTTGATTCCCCATTTTTCCACTTGCACCTGACTGGATGACCTTGGGCAAGCTGTAGTTCTGGTAAGAGCTGTCCTTGAAAAAGAGCCGTTTCTGTCAGAGCTCTCTCAGCCCCGCCTACCTCACAGGGTGTCTCTTGTAGGGGAGGGGAAGGGAACGGAGTTTGTCAGCCGCTCTGAGACTCCGAGTGAAGGGCGGGGTATAAATCCAATCTCCTCTTCTTCTGTAATCTGGGAGGACCGGGTTTGATTCCCCACTCCTCCACTTGAACCTGGCTGGGTGACCTTGGGCAAGCTCTGGCTCTGATAAGAGCTGTTTTTCGAAAAGAGCCGTTCCTGTCAAGAGCTCTCTCAGCTCCGCCTCCCTCACAGGGTGTCTATTGTGGGGAGGGGAAGGGAAAGTGTTTGTAAGCCGCTCTGAGACTCCCTTGGGTAGTGAAGTATAAATCCAATGTCTCCTTCTCTCCTTCTCCTACGCTCAGGACTCCAATACCGCCACCATGCAAACATCAGACATGATTGTCCCGATCAATACCTAAGTTCTGGTTGCGGTTGACACTCTTGGTGAGAGAAAGAGGCCCTCGTCGCCGCCGCCCCTGTTCTTTTTCAGTGCAACAAACGGCACTGCCAACGGGGCTGACAAATCGGCCATCTTCCCGCTGAGCTTCGTCAGGCGGCGACTCTCAGCTCTGCGGGAAGGAACGGGGTGGTGGTGGGGGCCATGGAGCACTTTTGGGACGCCGCGGGAGAGCTAAGATGGAGAGATAACTGCCCTGGTAATAGAGGCATTCCTATTCCGCTTCTGCCGCCTCCTTTCCACCCTCTGCCTCTGATTCGATTAGCGGCCAAACCTCCAGGCAAGCTCGAATCAATGGGCTGAGATTCTGCATGCTTATCAGGGAGATATATGCTTGCTGGTGATCAATCAATCAATCTATTCACACTCGAGGTATGTCTGGACCAGCTGCTTTTTGGTGGAAGGACGGTACAGGCCGCACCCGGTCCCTGGGCACATCCACAGCCAGCGCTCTGATCCCTGGGAAGCCTGCAATGGAGTTGGCGCCTCTTTACGAAAGCACAGACCTCCTCACTGCCGGAGCAGTCTGGCCTAATAGCCTGGAATCGTGGCCTGGGCCAGTCTCTCCTCCTCACCCAGTAACGTCTTTGCTTTTCTTCTTGTACCCTAGAATCATAGAACTGGAAGGGACCTCTGGGGTCATCTAGTCCAACCCTCTGCACAATGCAGGGAATTCACCAATACCTCCCCCCTCCACACCCCCAGGGACCCCTCCTGACAGTGACAGAGCCAGTTTGGTGTCGTGGTTAAGTGCAGGCGGACTCTCATCTGGGAGAACCGGGTTTGATTCCCCCACTCCTACACTTGCACCTGGCTGGATGACCTTGGGCAAGTCATAGTTCTGATAAGAGAGCCAGTTTGGTGTCATGGTTAAGTGCAGGCGGACTCTAATCTGGGAGAACCGGGTTTGATTCCCCACTCCTCCACTTGCACCTGGCTGGATGACGTTGGGCAAGCCATAGTTCTGACAAGAGCTGTCCTTGACAAAGAGCCGTTTCTGCCAGAGCTCTCTTGGCCCCACCTGCCTCACAGGGTGTCTGTTGTGGGGAAGGGAAGGGAAAGGAGTTTGTCAGCCGCTCTAAGACTCCTTTGGGTAGTGAAGGGCGGGGTATAAATCCAACCTCTTCTTCTTCTTCCTCCATGCCCAGAAGATGGCTAAAAAAACTCCAGAGTCCCTGGCCAAACCGGCCTGGAGAAAAATGGCTTCCTGACCCCAAAGTGGCAATTGGCATTTCTCTGGGCATGTCAGAAAGGGCCACAAGAACGAAGCACTGAGGCAACCCTTCCTGCCCTCCCTCTCGTGATCTCCCTAAGTTCACAGAATCCGCATTGCTGTCCGATGGCAATCCAGCCTCTGTCTGAAAACCTCATAGAATCACAGAGTTAGAAGGGATCTCCAGGGTCATCTAGTCCAATCCCCTGCACAAGGCAGGATATTCACAAATACCTCACCCTCCAATCACCTGTTCCATGCCCAGAAGATGACAAAAAACCTCCAGGATCCAGGATTCCAGAAAAACGGCTTCCTGACCCCAAAGTGGCGACCAGCATTTCCCTGGGTGTGTAAGAAAGGGCCGGGAGAACGAAGCACTCCCACTCATGATCTGCCCAAGTTCAATGTGTGCAGGGCTATTTTGGGGCAGGAACGCACAGGAACGGAGTTCCGGCTGGCTCTTGAGTTGGCCACGCCCAGCAGGAGCTCATTAGCATAATAGGCCACACCCAACAGCAGAAACTCATTAGGATTGGCTACATTAGGGGTGTGTGGCCTAACATGCAAAAGAGTCCCTGCTACAAAAAAAGGCCCTGGGTTTTGACAACAAACAAGGTAAACAGAATAAGAAGCAAAAGGTGGGTGTGGCTGGATGACCACACTTCCGGTAACATGGGGTGTGTGGCCTAATAGGCTAATGAGCTGTGCTGTCAGGGGTGTGTCCTAATAAGCAAATGAATTTCTGCTGTTGGGTGTGGCCTATTATGCTAATGAGTTCCTGCTGGGCTTTTTCTACCAAAAAAAGCCCTGAATGTGTGCCATATTCAGCTCTTAAGAATAGCTCTAGAAAGTAGCTGGGAGTGGGAATCCCCACCAATGCGCCTTCGCAGAGACGATGACGGAACAACCGATGTGCATGGGAAACCCGAACGGCACCCCTGGGATGTGGAAGGGCAAAGACGGACAGACCAAAACGTTCCCTCCGGTGAGAAGGAGGAGCTAGTGCAGACGTCCCTTCAGAGGGAAAGCGACAGCGGTCCGGGCCAGTGTGAAGCTCTCCTGCCCGAGCCCCATGGAGGTAAGTGTCACGTGCTCTTGTACGGCTCCCGTAGCTTCCGAAACCCTTCTGCGGGAGACCTTCGCACTGGGTCGTGTCTCCAGATGCCTGAGACGCGCAGACAGTGGCCCCTTGGTGTACACTTTGGGTTTATTGCAATAAATTAAATAACCCGGATGGTGCCCATGTGGCCGCGGGGAGCACCCCGCGCCTGTAGGAAATCAATCCAAAACCCAGGAAAGCATCGGGGGGGACGACTGGCTCCTATGTTGCGACGCCTCCACCCCAAACACATTCTGCAGCGTCGTCTTTGGGGCGGGGGCAGGAGGGGGCAGCCTGGCCCGGCCGCCTGGATTAAACGAGCAGACTCACATTTAGTTGCTGTAGATTTTCTGGGCTGTGTGGCTGTGGTCTTTATTATTTATTTTATTTATTATTAAGATTTATACCCCGCCCTCCCCGCAGAGCGGTCTCAGCATTGTAGGACCTGAGGTTGTCTTGGCATTGTAGGACCTGACGTTTCGCCTGTAGCTGTGACTGGCATCCTCAGAGGTATAACACAGAAAGATGGAGTACCCTCTGTGTCAAGGTGGGAAGGAAAACGGTAGGCAGGTCATTTATATCTACTCAGGAAGGTGGGGCGGGGCTGAGTCATCGTCTTGTACCCCACCTTCCTGAGTAGGCAGGTCGTTTATATCTCCTCAGGAAGGTGGGGCGGGGCTGAGTAATTATCGTGTACCCCACCTTCCTGAGTAGGCAGGTCATTTATATCTACTCAGGAAGGTGGGGTAGGGCTGAGTCATTATCCTGTACCCCACCTTCCTGAGTAGATATAAACGACCTGCCTACCATTTTTTTCCCTTACCTTGACACAGAGAGCACTCCGTCTTTCTGTGTTACACCTCTGAGGATGCCAGTCCCAGCTGCTGGCGAAACGTCAGGTCCTACAATGCCAAGACCACGGCCGCACAACCTGGAAAAATCTACAGCAACTAATGAACTCCGGCCCTGAAAGCCTTCGACGACAGACTCGCGTTTCTTTAACCCGAACGCCACCCCTCCCCGCCGTGCTCCCGGGTCTTCCCAAGGCACTTCCTGGCGCAAGAGATGGGACCTTGCCCCGCTCCCCTTATCCACACGGACACTGTTGTCCCGCCAGCCGTCCAAACGGCACAGATGTAGCCCCCCGACGCCGCAACCTCTGGCGGCCCACACCACCTTCCCGACTGGCTCGTCCACCTCTCAAGAAGAGTGCTTTACTACCATCCAAAACTCAGCGGCAACCGCCCCCCCTCCCTCTGGGGCAGGGAAGCCTGGGGCGGCCTACAAGGAAAAGGACATCTCCTCGGGGGTCAGGGGGGCCTGGATGTCCAGCTTCCGGCCCTTGTTGTCCTTCTCGACGATCTCCAGCCGCAAGGTCGGCTCCTCCCTCCGGCCGCCCTCCTCGGCCGGGGAACTGTCCTGGGTCTTCAGGAGCTCCTTCTCAGCGTTGTCCACCACGATCCGCAGGGTGCACCCGGGCGGCAGGAGGTCCTGCTCGTAGGCGGCGGCCAGCTGGTTCACCACCCGGCGCTCGACCTGTGGGGGGTGGGAGGAGTGAGAGGGTCAGCGGAAGAAGAGGAGAGGAGACGTCAAGGCCTGTGGTCACCGTGGCCTCTGCTGCCGTGGCGAGGAAAGCACCGGGCGAACAGGAGGCAGGCCGGGCATTCCAGAGGGACAGAAGCGAAGCACACCCAGCCCCTCCCCTGCCAGAGAAAGGCTTGATCTGAAGATGGCCCGTTAGTTTTCACTTTGTCTGCAATCGGTCTACAGGTGCCCACCATTAGGGGTTACACCCCGATTACCAGGACATAAGGAGAGCCCTGCTGGGTCAGGCCAGTGAGGGTCCATCTAGTCCAGCCTCCTGTCTCACACAGGGGCCAGCCAGTTCCTCTGGAGGGCCAACAACAGGGCAGAGAGGCCGAGGCCTTCCCCTGATAAGAACCTCAGAAGAGCCCTGCTGGGTCAGACCAGGGAGGATCCATCTAGTCCA